CTGTCCAGTTTTTCCAACACCATTCATTGAAGCATCAAATGTATATTCTTGGCTCCTTGGTCACAAATGAATTGGCTAACATGTATGGGTTTATTTCTGGGTTATCTATTCTGTCCCATTGATCTCTGTGTCCATTTTTATGTAAATACTATACTGTTTTGACTGCTATAATCTTGAGTTTACATCAACTTAATAGTTTCTTTTTCCGGCATTATTATATTTTTTCTATGTATATGATATATGCATCCTTGTAGATTTCTCAAATCTAATGTGAAAAATCTTATATAATAAAAGCTTAACATGCTAAGTGTCCGGTAGTCTGATCAACCAATCAAAGTGTAATATGCTAATGATATGCTAAGGCCGCTCAACTGCTCACTATGACATGCACTGACCACCGGTGGACCAGTCGACCAGTCACTATGACATGCACTGACCACCAGAGGGCAGCCATACTGACCGGTAGTTTAGCTTGCTTCTGGGGTCTGGCCAATCGGGACTGAGCGAGATGGGTCGAACATGCCCTGGAGCCCTCCCACAGTCCCTCCCTGGCTGGCCAACCTCCGGCTCCCCTCCCCAGCCCTGATCATGCACCAGTGGGGTCCCTCAGCCTGGCTTTGTGCCCTCTTGCAATCCAGGACCCCTTAGGGAATGTAGGAGAGCTGGTTTTGGCCCGATCCTGCAGGCTAATCTAGACTAGCCAAATAGATACATAAAAGTAATCATCATGGCTCATCTCTTGTCAACTTGGCACCTATAGACATCTCCTTAAATCATATTTAATCTTCAAATAAAGAAAATAGCAGTCAGCCCAGCTGGCATGGCTCAGTTTGAGCACCGACCTATGAACCAGGAGATTGCAGTTCTATTCCCTGTCAGGGCATTTGCCTGGGATGTGGGCTGGATCCCCAGAGTGGGGTGTGCCAGGAGGCAGCCTATCAATGATTCTCTCTCACCATTGATGTTTCTATCTCTCTCTCCCTCTCCTTCTCTGAAATCAATAAAAATATTTTTTTTTAAAAGAAAATAGCAAAGTCATGCTTCTGTCTACCTTGTGTACAATAAAAAATGTGCTCTTGCCGAAACCGGTTTGTCTCAGCGGATAGAGCGTCGGCCTGCGGACTCAAGGGTCCCAGGTTCTATTCTGGTCAAGGGCATGTACCTTGGTTGCGGGCACATCCCCAGTGGGGGAGGTGCAGGAGGCAGCTGATCGATGTTTCTCTCTCTATCCCTCTCCCTTCCTATCTGCAAAAAAATCAGTAAAATATATATTTTTTAAAAAGAACAAAAGTACTGCTTCTTCCAAGATGAAAGTGGTCCTAAGAATGAACCTGCCACTACATAGATGGCTAATCACCCCCCTGGGGGAATGGTGCTATGTTGGAGACATACTATTGATCTTCGTTGCTAGCAGATGGGGCACATACAAGAATCAACCAATAAATGGATGCAGAAATAAGTAGAACAGCAAATCAATGTTTCTCTCTCTTTCAAATTGATAAATAAAATAATTTTAAAATACATACATACTCCTGGGAGACAGGAACCTCTATCTCCTTTTTTTTCTAATCCCTTTATAATATTAGAATACTCTCGCATCCTGAAATATTTTAAGTACAATGTTTAGATGCATTATTATTAGTATTAACAGCTTTATTTCATTCCACTACCAGCAAATTAGAGCAACTATGGTGCTAGAGTTTCTCCTTTTTTCTCACCACAACCACCATCACTTCACCTTACTCAACTCCCACAACCACCTACTTTTCTAAGTTCCTCTTCCTCATTTTCTAACACCTACTGAGAAATTGAGAAGCCTGTTCACTTCTAGGCCGATAATATCACATCTTTTCAGAGCAATGTTAAATGTTGACCCAGCTTTGGTAGACTTTTCCAGATGTCTTCCCCTTTCCTGGGGGCTAGATCTAAGAATAGGAAAAGAAATCCTTTCTTACATGGGGTCAAAGATGCCCTGAGGGTAGGGTTGGAAAGGGGAGTGAATCCCTGCCTTCGGTAGTGTTGCTCAGGGTTGAATGACAATTCAGTTTGATGGTTCCACCCTTCAGACCTCTCCACTAGGAGAACTTAGCATTTGGTACACATAATTTACTCCTTAAATATTATAAACCTTTAGTTAGAGTAAGACCTGACAACTCTAAAACTGAACCACAAGGAAAAAATGTCTGATTTTGAGAGTTCTTGTAATTCTCCAATATTGTGAATATCAGTGTTTTGACCACTGAAGCTGTATTTTCCCTATTGCCTAGAACTGTATTCCAGAGCAGTGCTTCTTAAAATTTAGGATGCACAAGAATTAGAGATTTTTTTTTTTTTTTTTTTTGAGAATACGTTTATTACAGCTGGAGACAGTGAAACAAGAAAGGGCTTAGCAAAGAAGAAGCAACAGGACAGAGCCTAGGCAGGGCTGCTTTGGCTCACTAGAAAGTCAGAGAAGAAGAGAAGACAGGCTCAGGGGGTTAGCCCAGGATGAGCTGCCACTGCCCATTGCTCCCCTGGTTGCAAGTCTCTCGGGGAGACCTTAGAGTTTATGATATACATGCCTGAGAAAAGAAGGGGGGAGAGAGAGAGAAAAAGGAAGAGGTAGAGAAATATCAATCGGCTGCCTCTTGCACATATCCCACCCAGGGCTGGGGATGGAACCCAAAACCTAGGTATGAGCCTTGGCTGGAAATCAAACCCAAGACCTTTTGGTGCATGGCACAACACTCCAACCAACTGCGCCTCACCAGCCAGGCCATGTTCAGCTTTTAGCTTATCCAAGACCCAGGCATACTTGAAGGAGCCCCTTCCCTATCTCAGCAGCCTCCTCAAATTTTTTGTCAATCCCACCACATTTGTAGGTCAGATGGCCAGTAGTGGTAGACGATGGCCAGTATGTGTCCAAGACGATGATGTTAGTATGAGTCTTTTCCTTTCTCATTTTGGGTTTGATTTAGTGGTGGTTTTTACAACACTTGTGTTCTGGCAGCAAAACTGTTGCAAAAAAGCAAGCATTAGTGAATCTTAAAAGATAAGACTCCTGGGTCCCACTCCCAACTGAAAGAGCTAGAACAAGCCCTGGCCAGGTAGCTCAGTTGGTTAGAATGTCATCCCCATATGCCAAAGTTGTGAGTTTGATATCCTGTCAAGGCACATATAAGAATCAACCAATGAATGCATAAATAAGTGGAACAACAGATCATTCTCTTGTGTGTTTTTTAAAAGGATATAGAGCAGTGGTTCTCAACCTTCCTAATGCCCCAGCCCTTTAATACAGTTCCTCATGTTGCGGTGACCCCCGATTTCATTGTTACAAATTGAACATAATTAAAGCATAGTGATTAATCACAAAAACAATATGTAATTATATATGTGTTTTCCGATGGTCTTAGGCAACCCCTGTGAAAGGGTCGTTTGACCCCCAAAGGGGTCGTGACCCACAGCATTCTTACATGGAGAGAATGCATATAAAAATATAGCTAAGACCAGGGGTTCTGGAGTCAGCTCTTCTTAGGTGTGTGTTTTTTGGGAAATCATGACGCTTGCTCTGACCCTCAGCATCTATAATAGGATAATAGTATCTCACCTTGTTTAATGAGAGTGCATTTATAGTAATTATCACAGTATGGTCACATAGTTGTTATAAATGTTAGTTTAGAGTCAAGTAAAATAATATTTAAGGTTACTGACTTAAACCATTTGCCCAGCCATCGACCTACCTGTGAACCAAGAAGTCAACAGTTCAATTCCCAGTTGCAGGTTCGATACCCAGTGTGGTGTGTAGGAGGCAGCCAATCAATGATTCTCTCTCATCACTGATGTTTCCATCTCTCTCTTCCTCTCTGAAACCAATAAAAAAATATATGTTTTTTAAAATGTATAATTTTAACTAACATCTCCATACTCTAGGCTGACTATTCACAAATATGTATCTATAGTTTAAGAGTTTGCAGCACCTGTACTCTAGGCATGTCTGCCCACTTGCTATCTGCATTTACTAGTATACCAACCTCATTCTGCAATTCAGTTTCCTCATCTGTAAAATAAATATGAGTAATAATTTTTTAATTAAAAAATATACATTTCCAAAAAAAGAATGGAATCATTTATGTTATCTCTAAGAAGATAAGCAGTATCCCTCATCTCAACACCAAGAAAAACAAGTATTTCTTTTAATAAACTAATGAAGGATGAATGTAAGGTGATTTTGAAATTTTAGCTTTATGACAATGGCTTGTTAAGGACAGAAAATGTGTTGCAGTGGATTGAAGATAGAGCAGGTTTTTAAAAAATATATATTTTTATTATTTTCAGAGAGGAAGGAAGAGAGAGAGAGAAACATCAATGATGACAGAGAATCATTTATCAGCTGCCTCCTGCACTCCCTGCACCGGGGATAGAGCCTGAAACAGGGAGTCCAACCGTGACTTCCTGGTTCACAGGTCAACACTCAACCACTGAGCCATGTGGGCCAGGCTAGAGCAGTTTCTTAATGGAGCTGGGTTATAGTCAACTTGGACTGAAGAGAGAAGGTCACATAACATTGTATGTTATTTAAACTTCCCCAGGGAGGCATGGGCTGAAAAAACCCCCCAAAACTTCCTGAGCTTTGGTTTCTTTACCAATAAATGATAGTTAATCTCAGAATGTAGCTTAAGGATCATGAGAAATAAAATTTACATTTTTCCATGTAAGAGAGTGCTGTATAAATGTAAAGGTGTTTTGTTTGTTTTTTAAACCTCACTCCGAGAGAGAGAGGAAAGGCGCGGGAAAGGGAACGAGAGAAACATCAATGTGAGAGAGAAACATTGATTGGTTGTCTCCCTCACACACCTTGACCAGAGATTGAAACCACAATTTAGTGATGCTCCCTGATCCGGAACTGAACCGGCAACCCTTTAGTGTATGAGATGATGCTCCTGGCCAGGGCTGTAAAGTTTTCTTATACGATTTTTCCCCCAAGTTGAAACTCACTTTATTTTTCACTGTTCTTTTGGAAGATGCAAGTGGCATCAGGAAAGAGCCATTGACAAAGTTAAGAATGAATCATATTTTTCTAATCCTGATGAAGACTAATGTAACAGATATTTTTTAAAAATATTTTTTAATTGATTTCATAGAGCAAAGTAGAGGGAGAGAGAAACATCAATGATGAGAGAGAATCACTGATTGGCTGCCTTCTGCATGCCCTCTATTGGGGATCAAGTTCTAGCCCAGGCATGTGCCCTTGACTGGAATCGAATCCAGGACCCTTCAGTCTGCAGGCCAACACTCTATCCACTGAGCAGATTGGCTAGGGCTGTAGCAGATATTTAAACAAGGAATTTTTCTTCATAGAAGCACTCGAAATCCATAACTCTTTAATTGGACATCCATTGGCGACACCCATTCCAGCCTCACAGGTATTCTGACCAACCAGTGAAAATAAATTCCATAGCTGCTCATCAAGCTAAGGAGAGCTACTTTTGTGGCCAAAAGTACTTGCCCTCGGTGTTTCGGACAGTACACGCCTGTGTGGTTGTGTCCAGCTACCTTCCTTCTGCAGAACCCTGGCCCTACTTCAACTTCAAGTTCTGGTCCTCAGTCCTTGTACTTAGTTCTTGTCACCACACACACGTCAGAGAGATGGGTCATCAGAACATTGCAACCCTTTTCCCCCACTTGCACCCTATCGTAAGTGCATTAGTATGACCCATCGCATGCCCCATGCTTCATGCCCTGTGCTTAATTAATTTGCTTGTGGCATCTCAGTTTGACCTGTAAGGTGTGTGTGTGTGTGTGTGTGTGTGTGTGTGTGTGTGTGAGAGAGAGAGAGAGAGAGAGAGAGAGAGAGAGAGAGAGAGATTTTTTTTTGTTCAATAGCTTGTCTGGTAGTGCACATGGAGGTAGTGCTATCTTTAAAGTTATTTTCCAGGTAGTTAAACCTTCTAAAATTCTCAAGGGCACTTCCTTCTAGGACCACAGAGTTGGTAACAACCACCCAGATACCAGGAATCCTTTAAGAAGAGACTGACCACCAGCTGCTGCTTCTTTTTAATCAGGTTACACTTACACCTCACCCCGAGGAACCTATTCAAATGCCTACATTTCGGTGTCCTTAGTCAACCAACTTCCTGTCCCGGAAGCTTTTGTCTGACCCAACTGGCTTCTTTATTTAACAAATTCCCTTTATCTCCCGCTTGAGGCAAAGCTCACTTGGCCCTGGGAGCAGGAAAAGCCCTCCCCCACTTCCCTACCTCCGTCTGGCAGTTGTCTGCCTTTACCTTGGGTTTGCAGTCACAGCCCTACTTTTCCCTGTAGACACCAACTTTTCTGAAGAATAGCACGGTTATTTTGAACAGAATTAAACGTGTCCTTTACCAGAGAATTGGGTGCTTGAAATTCACTAAGCAAACTATATATTCCTCCCACTTCTGAGCTTCGAATCCAAACTATGGAAGTCAGAAGACGCCGCAAGGCAACTCAATCCAGTGTGCTTGTTTCCTTCAAGGACAAACTGAAATGGAAATGCAAGCTGAAAATCAAGACCCAGTGATTTTTAAAAGCTAAAATACAGGGTGGGGCAAAAGTAGGTTTACAATTGTTTGTATGGAAAATAATACAATAAGTAAGAATACAAGAATAAGCTCTGTTTTAAGTAGTCACAACTGTAAATCTACTTTTGCCCCACCTTGTATAATAAGGTAGCTAAAATAAGACATTGGAAGTAACCACCTTTTGGGAGGAGACTGGAGAGAGCAAGATTTTGAAGAGAAAAGATGGGAGAGGATGGCAAGTGAATTTATAATTACTTTTATTTTTACCTTGTGTCCTATTGTACTAGTTTATAGTCTGTTAAGTCTGTGACCAAAAGAGAGAAGCTGAAAAGCTTTGTACTTCTCCTAATTCATTTTGGCAAGCCTCTTCCAGCTTTTATGGTGGCTTACTTACCCAGATGGTGAATTTGGCTCTAATATCTATTAGCTTAATTCTCCAAGAGCAACCTTCTTAGATATTAACTATAAATGTTTAAGTTTTTTTTAAAAAAAGACTAAAACTTGTGTTTTTAATTACTATTACCGCATAGTGCTTTAATAAATTAGCTAGTTAACAGAATAAAGTGCCAATCCAAAAATAGTGTGCAATTTCAAGTATGAATTTCAATTTCTATTTCTTATGAAAACATTTTTTCCATATTTTAAAACATCTGTCTACATGTTTAAAATGACAAAATGTTAGTAGCAACATAATTTTTGGTGGCAAGTAACCAAAACAGAAACAACTTAAGTTGTGTTACATCTGTGATATGATATACTCTTTATACAAATTAATTTTAAAATTTTTAATTGATTTTAGAGAGTGAGAGGAAGGCAGAGAAATATTGATTTGTTGTTCCACTTATTTATGCATTCATTGGTTAATTCTTGTATGTGCCCTGCCACAACTTTGGCAAATCAGGATGATGCTCTTACCAACTGAGCTACCTCGCCAAGGCTGTACTATGATATATTCTTAAGTAGAAAAAGCAGACTGTAGAACAAAATGCATGATATAATTCCATATTTGAATAGGGAGAAGTGTGCTGTAATTCTGTTTATGTCATGTGCATGCATGAAAGTGTCTGGAAAGACATCAATGTTAACATGATGTTAACAAAGTTAACTGCAATGATTTTGTTTTAATATTTTATTAATGGTTGTCGGGTATTTTTTTTTTTTTTTTAAGGGAATGACTAAGTCACACTGAGATGTTAAGAAGAACCAAAACTTAATCTTTCTCTTCTTTAGCTACCTGAATTCCATTCATTTTTTCATATCAGAAATGCTTTGGTAGAGAATATTCGAGGAAGAAACCATCTCAGCCTTGGCTAATATATTTAGGGAAAATAGGGAATCTTACTATTTTATAATGTAATTACCAATACTTAGATTCTTTCAAACAAATATATTTCTAAATTCTAACATGCAAAGAAGTTGAAGATGTGATGCTAAAACAAAAAGTTTTGAAAAGAGTGTAAGGCCTGAGCACACATTGTACTAGTGTGTGACTCAGTTGATTGATCGTCTTCTCATTCACCAAAAAGGTCACAGGTTCCATCAATGTCTCTCTCTCTCTCACATCAGTGTTTCTCCCTCTCTTTTCCTCTCTTTTCTCTGAAATCAGTAAAGAAAAGAGATACAGAGAGAGAATATATGGTATAATCCTGTTATAATATATCCATTAAAATTCACATGTAAAACCACCCATATACAAAATAGCTGCAGGAAATGTTCATCACTGAATAGCCATTTTCACTAGAATCTCTTTATTATGTATTTTCGCTATTGCTTAAATTGTTTTTAACAGCATATTTTAGTGTTGCGATCAGAATGTCTGATTTTATAAAAAATAAATCAAAATGTTCTTTGATTTTGGATTTTACTATCCTCTGCCTTGATTTTTCCATCTTTACTCTAATAATATGTACCTTTTGGGTATAAGAAACAATAAATGAATGGCACTTCCATAAATGGCTAATTTCCAAAAGTAAACTATTAACATCAGAAATCAGTCTTTTGCCCACTTTTCCTTTCAGTCTTATTTTCCCTTTTCTCCCTTGCTTTCCTTTTTCTTCTTCAGTATCTAGCATGATGCTTTGAAGTTGATAGGTGCTCCTGTCCTTTTTGCCACTCTCAATCTTTCTTAATTCTTAACCATTTCTTGCGTATTCCCAACTTAATCCAAAGCAAACACAAGAAGCAAACAGGAGCGTGTGTGTAAAATTGTACCATGGCATGGTTTAGTACTGGGCTCTAACACTTCGGTGTGTGTGTGTGTTTAAATATATTTTTATTGATTTCAGAGAGGAAGAGGAGAGGGAAATAGAAACATCAATGATGAGAGAGAATCATTGATTGGCTGCCTCTCGCACACCTCCACAGTGGGGATCCAGAATCAAAACATGACCTCGTTTCATAGGTCAGCACTCAACCATTGAGCCACGTCGTCCTGACTGGACTCTAGCACTTTGTAATAACTATTTTCCCATTTCTAGACTGTGGTTCACCTTTCAGGATTTCCTCAAATTTGTTGTCTTTTATGTGTATTTATTTAGAGCTAAGAATTTTATAGGAATGTTAGTGACAAATTACCTTTAAAAAGAAAAGCTCTAGTTTAACCTTTTCCTTCACTCATACATCTAAAATATAAGTGAAAAGGGCAGGTGGCAGGAACAGATCAATTATTTTCAAAGTCAGAATCAATTCTCCTTGAATTATAAGACTAAATAGGGGTGACTTAGAAAATGGCATTTTCATCGTTCAATGAATGCTTTCTGTTTCAATTATCTCCTGGGTCCATAATATAGTACATGGCACACAACTCAAAAATCTGACAGCTTAAAGGAATAGCATGTTGTCCTTAAGATTGGCAGAAGTTAATTATCCCTGCCTTCTTCTTCTGGGAATTGTCTAGATAATTGGGTTGGATGAGATTATAGAGGAACACTGGACAATTGGGGACACCACGAGGAAAATGACCAAGAAAACTGCTCTGGCTATTCTCTGCATCTCTGATGCTCCAGAGAACTGGAAGTTTCTATGGAGCAAAAGGCAGAGTAGTGAATGAACATGCCCCCAATCCAATAAATTTAGGGCAAGCCTGGATGAGGAAAGGACAGTAAAAAGGGGATTATTAGCATACTTTATAAAGGGCTACTTAGATCCTGAGAACATAATTTACCTGAAAAGAGAAAAATCTATTTCAAATTAGCCCTAGAATTTATTTATGTATTGGTCTCTGATCCTTTTTTCTTCAGTGTTAACATCAATACACTTACAGAGCCATACATAAAAATGACATATTAAATTGTGCCTAAACCCTAGTCGGGTAGGTGGTCTACAAATTTAATTGTCAAAAATAAAAGTATTTTGCCCTATCTGATTTGGCTCAATGGTTAGTGCGCCAGCAGATGGACTAAAGGGCGCAGTCGAGGGCACTTACCTCGTACCTGGCAACCTATGGATGTTTCTATCTCTCCCCTTCAGCTCTCTCAAGGAATCAATGGAGAGGGTATCCTCAGGTGAGGATTAACCAAAAATAAATAAATAAAAGCACAT